GTTTTTTAACCAACTTACAGTCAGTAGAGTTGATCAGCTTCTCCGGCAGGCTTTCTAACCACCCTGAAAAGGACAGCATGGAAACGAGTTCGGATGAAGACAACAGCGCATCTGTAAAGGCATATTTGAAGACCGAACACCGTCCGGTACAGCGTCTTTTACCTTCGACTGTTTTTCTCAGATTGGTGACTACGTGTGACAAAAAGTTGAAAGGGACGGCGGTGCCTGTCAGGTTGGTGCTGTGATTGGGAATTGAAGTAGAGGGACAGCAGTAGACCTCGTCTGAATAAAACACATTGGAGAAATCGATGTCTGGAGGCCAGGGACCAGGAGAGGCAGTGGAGGCCGCTGAAAACAAACAAAATAAACTGAACTATACAAAAAAGAACAATGATCAGAATATATATATATATATATATATATATATATATATATACACATACATACATAAACACATACATACATACATACATACATACATATATATATATATATATATATATATATATATATATATATATATATATATATATATATACATACATACATACATATACACATACATACATATATACGCAATGTCAAAAACAAACAAAATAAACTGAACTATACAAAAAAGAACAATGATCAGAATATATATATATATATATATATATATATATATATATATATACACATACATACATATACACATACATACATACATATATATATATATATATATATATATATATATATACATATATATATATATACATATATATATATATATATATATATATATATATATATATATATATATATATACACACACATATATATATATACATATATATATATATATATATATATATATATATATATATATATATATATATATATATATATATATATATATATATATATATATTACTGCCACATTGACATAACAATAACAAGCAATCTGATTTAACATGCTGAGTCATTGAGCACCTAACATGAACAGTTGAAGTCAGAATTATTAGCCCCCTTTGAATTTTTTTTTTCTTTTTTAATTATTTCCAAAATTATTTTTAACAGAGCAAGGAAATGTTCACAGTATGTCTGATAATATTTTTTCTTGTGGAGAAAGTCTTATTTGTTTTATTTCGGCTAGAATAAAAGCAGTTTTTAATTTTTTAAACATTATTTTAAGGTTAATATTATTCGCCCCTTTAAGCTATATATTCTTTCTCGATAGTCTACAGAACAAACCATCATTATACAACAACTTGCCTAATTACCCTAACCTGCCTAGTTAACCTAATTAACCTAGTTAAGCCTTTAAATGTCACTTAAAGCTGTATAGAAGTGTCTTGAAGAATATCTAGTCAAATATTATTTACTGTCATCATGGCAAAGATAAAATAAATCAGTTATTAGAAATGAGTTATTAAAACTATTTAAAAAAAAAATCTTCTCCCAGTTAAACAGAAAATGGGGGGAAATAATTCAGGGGGGCTAATAATTCTGACTTCAACTGTATGTTTGTAGCCATCACATAATTGATGATAACATTGTACCTGCTATTGAAATCCATGTCCTCTTGTAACGTCAACATATAGAGAGCAGTGATAGAAATGACACTGCAAAACAACAAGATCAAATAAGGTCAAACGCAGGCCGATACTTCACTTGATCTCAACCTCTCCTCAGTACATTCAACACACTGCATGGCAGGTCAGTTTGTAGTTGTTGTAGTTTGTATATATATATACAATATATATATTGTGTGCATTTATGATGTAAGTTTCACACAGGTGAGTGGGCTTCACAAACCACCTGTAGAAACACTCTTCAAGCTATATATAAAAAACACTCCCCTCTCCCTACTCTAGAACTTCATCCTCTGAGCACTAATAGTTCCTTGGTATAATTACTTTTTGTGTGAATTGCCTTTTCTTGTTGAATCGACGAATGTCTCCTCAATTTTAAGTGGCTTTGGACAAAAGCATCTGCTAAATGATTAAACGAAAAAAACGATAATCTCACTACCGAATATTCCATTGTGGTATTAGTGATTTTGTCCAAACTTTGTGTGGCCTACAGCTCAAAACAGATTTAGGAAGCTTCATGGAATTGGTTCCTATGGCTGTACAGCTACATTCAAGCCTTACATCACCAAATGCAATGCTATGTATGGGACGCAGTGAAGTAAGCCAGATCAACTAGAGGTGACTCTAGACCAATCACGCTTCTCTGTCTGGCAATCTGAGGGTCCAGTTTCTTCAAAGGTTTGTACGAAGATTCAGTCAATTAGTGGAGTGAGTCAAACCAATAAAACTACATGGTTGATTTTCCAGCATTGCCTGTTTTCTTTGTAAAGTTGCTTTGACATTATTTGTGTTGCATGAAGCGCCCTAGGAATAAAAGTGACTTGACTAATCCGTCCTTTATAGGCAAGATATGATATAGGGTCACATGTATTTTAAAACATCTTACCAAAGAGCCATGGTTGTGACTAGCATGATAATGCTAGCTTGGAATACTCGGTGTTGAAGACAGTGGTTGTATCTTCCACAGAAGTAGTTCTGGAAGAGAAATATGAAGGTGTCACATTTGTACAAATCAGTGTTGAAAATGTTAAGTAACATGGTTTTCGTTACTTTGCTAGATTGAGAGGGAGATGGTACTGGTGATGGCAGTTCTGCACGGGATGTGCAGTTTTTGTTGATTTTCCTGTGACAAAAAGATTTCAGTAAATATCAGATTTCAGGGGTTTGCATGAAGACACATACAGCGTGTCTGGAAAGCATTCACAGCACTATTTTTTTCACAGCCTAATTCCAAAATGTATTTACTTCATAATTTTCTTCAGAAATCGACAACCTGTACCTCATAATAATAATGAGAAATATGTTTTAATAATTTTGTAATTGTATTAAAAATAAAAAAATTAAATAAATACATACACATTTCAAAAATCGGAAGTACATAAATATTCACAGCCTTTGCGCAATACTTTGTTGAAGCACCTTTGACACCAATTACAGCCTCAAATCGTTTTGGGAATGAAGCTACAAGCTTGGCCCACCTGTTTCTCCCATTCTTCTCTGCAGTTTCTCCATAAGGTTGGATGGATCGCATTATTGCACGATTTTTCCAGATATGTTTAATAGGGTTTAGGTCTGGGCCCCCACCCCCACACAACCAACCCTACTTTCCCTCCTTTCAAACGTGCGACACGGTGGCCAGTGATTAGCGCTGTTGCCTCACAGCAAGAATGCCCTCGGTTTAATTCCCTTCCAAACCAGGCGACATTTCTGTGCAGAGTTTTGCTCGTTCTCCCCGTGCTCGCGAGGGTTTTTCTCCGATTTCCTACCACAGTTCAAATTCAAGCACCCTAAACAATTGATCCCAAATATTTACAGCCAAGGTCTGGGTACACCTCTTCTCAGCCATCCATATCTGACACTTCGCTACAAATAAGCAAGGGGGGCAGTCATCGAGATCTACCAGAGCTCAAACTCCCCTGCAACGGGAGGGAGCCCAGGGCTTCAAGGATCTCATAAGCTCAGGGCTCTCTCCAGGGACAGCATGCCAAACAAGCTTTATTATCAATCATCAGCTAAGTGTGAACTCTTGAACTGTGTGCTGATGGTCGTTTTCCTTTTTGAAACCCCAGTCTGAGATCACTTACATTCCTGTAGCAGGTTTTCACCAAGGATGTCTCTGTCCATTGCTGCATTCACCTTTTCTCCATCCCGACTAGTCTCCCCGTTCATCCTGCGGAAAAATATCTCCACAGCTGATCCTGCTTCACCTTAATCACTGTAGTGATGGTACTGGCCAGCTAACTGCCTGGTTTCCTCCAGACACGATGCTTGGCTAAGAACAAAGAGTTCTTCGAATCAAAGTTCAATCTTTCAATCGGAACAGAGAATTTGGTTTCTGATGGTCTGGGAGTTCTTCAGGTGCCCTTTGGTCAAGCTCCAGGCATCTTTCATGTGGCTTAACTGAGGATCTGTTTGCTCTACCATTGGTGAAGAGCTGCAGAGATACTTGATCTTCGGGAAGTTCAGGTTCATGTTCTCACCTCCCTGACCTGAATGTAAGATAAGATCCTTATGCCCTGATCTCTTAGTTTGGCAGGTGGTTAATATAGAGGAGTATTGGTGGTTACAAAACTCCTTCTTTTCTGATGATGAAGGTCACCGTGTTCATTTGGATCTTGATGCTGCAGAAATTTTAGCAGCATTTTCTTTACCCTTCCCTTCTTACGCTGCGTTCACACCAGACGCGGAACGCGTGTCAAGCGTGAGTGATTTACATGTTAAGTCAATGCAAACGCGTGAATAGACATCCTGCGGCGTGATATGCGCGAATGACGCGAATTGCGTGGTGCGAATAGCGTGATACACGCGAATGGCGTGGCGCAAATTGAGCGTTATGCGCGTTTGACACGCTTAATGCGCGTTTCGCGCAAATCACTCGAGTTCGAAAGTCTGAACTTTAGCGGACATTCGCGCCGTGTTAACCAATCAGGAGCTTGCTCTTGTGGGGGCGTGATTGTGACGTATTGCCTGTTGGTGGTGTCCCAGGAAAAATCCCCCAGCAGACACCGACAACAAGTTCATCAAACTTGGCTGGGCTCAGTCAGAAGCACCGCTGAAAACCTCCATCAGCCAGGTTCAGTTTCTGGAGGAGTTTATGAGCTCACAGAGCTGGATGCACCTCTGAAAGGATGTAGTGGACTCAGACACGACCCTAAACGTATCGACGCTGTTTATCAGCCTTCATAAAGTACATAAACACTGTTATTTTTTAAATAAAATCCATGTTAGGCCTTTAGCTATGAAGCTAGTGTCACGGGGCAGACAGAAGCCCTGCCCATCACGGGAATCCGGGTCTGTTCTGAAGTGAATTTGACTCGCGAATGAAACGGGGTTTGACACGCGAATGAAGCGAGTAACCTCAAATGTTCACGCGACTATTTACACGCGAATAGCGCAATTTATCAACTCCTTGGTCTTCATGGCTTGGCTTGTGCTGAGAATTCATTCATTCATTTTCTTGTCAGCTTAGTCCCTTTATTATTCCTGGGTCACCACATCGGAATGAACCGCCAACTTATCCAGCACATTTTTACGCAGCGGATGCCCTTCCAGCCGCAACCCATCTCCACACATACACTCATACACTACAAACAATTTAGCCTAACCAATTCACCTGTACCGCATGTCTTTGTACTGTGGGGGAAACCGGAGCACCCGGAGGAAACCCACGCGAACGCAGGGAGAACATGCAAACTCCACACAGAAACGCCAACTGAGCCGAGGATCGAACCAGCGACCTTCTCGCTGTGAGGCGACAGCCCTACCTACTGCGCCACTGCATCGCCACATCTTGACAATTTCAGTGGAAACAAAAAGGCTTATGACAAAGGTTATGGACACTTGTGTACACCTTTTTTGTTGTTTGTTTGGGTTTTTTGTATAAATTTACAAAAATTTCAAGCAAGCTTTTCACAATTTCATTATGGGGAGTTGTTTGTAGATTTGTGAGGAGCATAGTACACTTAATTCAGTTGAAATATGACAACATGAAAACATTGAAGCGCTGTTATTATTTTCCAAATGCACAATACAAAGCTAGGAAAATCAGCACACACGTTTTCATACTTCAAAAATACAACTCAAATGAAAGAAATAAGGTGCAGACCCTTTAGTAGGAGCTTTGCTGTTGGAGCGCATGCTGCCGAGCGTCTTCAGTTTGGCCAGGCGAGTGTTCCAGACCTCAAGCTCTTGAATGCGACTCTCAAGGTTATCAGTGAGTTTACACAGCTGCTTCACAGCACCCACGTTCTCCATGAAAATCTGTTCCTAGATTAGAAAAAAAGACCAACGTTGTGTTACAAATCAGTCTGCCTAGAAAACATCAGCTGCAATTATTCACTAGCTCACCTTGTCCACCATAAGGAACTGATCAATCGTCTCCCCATTTATGCAAGTTATATCCCCCATCTCTCTTACAGCCGAAGGCAGGAGTTCTCTGACTTCCTGCGCGATGATTCCTAATCAAAGAGAGACGTCCCACATAGCAAAATTTCTCTGGCCCAGCTCTGGCCCACACAATCAGGTTTTAATTGGCCCACATGCCGCAGTGAATTACGGTACATAACTGGACCAAATCTGGCTTCCAGACAAGGGCCAAACACGGACCATATCTGGGCCAAGTCTCAGCCAAGTTAATAACTCGTAACTGGGCCTGAACTGAGCCAGATAGGTTGGTGTGTCACGATTGCAATGAAATTGATAAACCCATGGAGTGATGCGCTTTAGGCACACTCTGGGCACGCTTTTTCTTAAAGTGACCTGATTGGTAGAATTTTTTTTCTTTACTCAAAAATGATTTTAGTGTATTTTAAATGTGGGTCAAGAGTGGCCAAACTCAAATGGCCCACTTATCAAATTTTTAAATCTGGGCCAAATACCACGTTTTTCATCTGGCCCAAATCTTGTGTGCTGCCTTAAAAACGGTGCCACCTCTGCCAAACCCGGGCCATGTTTGGCCCACATGCTGTATGCCAGTGCCGGATGAATGCCTGCTGTGCCAGCTTTGTGCCAAATCTGGGCCAGAATTCTTTGCTACTAGGGGTGTGATGGTGAGCACCTTGACTGAACACTGTTTTAAAGAAGTTGCGTGCTAATTTAGCTTAGTTTTACCTGTTTCATGACATTGGTCGATCCCCATCCTTGAGGCAAACTCTGGTCTATAATCGTACTCCACAATCCTCATCTGAGCTATCCTCTTGAGCTGTTCCGTTGAATCCACCTGCAGCACAATAAGACGCAAGAATAGCCAGCTCCATTACCACTAAAGAGAAGCTGTGAACATATGAACATGAAGACAAACATCGCCTCCAAAAGGGAATCTGCGGAAGGATTTAAACATCCATTTTAAAGCCCTGCCCAACCTGTGAAACTTCAGCCACGATTTGGTCTTCTGAGAAAAATTTGGGAAATTCTAAGCTTAAATATGTGATCTTTGTTTGTTTGCCGCTTAATGGCTGTCAGGATAACATTTTCCCTCCATTTTAGTCACTTATATGCAGTGTAACTCAGCTATGATGAGCATCAAACCTGATGAGGCAAACAACTTCAAACCACCACAGGGAAAACAGCCTTTCCTGGTTTTATTATGGTGGCACACCATGAGCAAAATCGGCGCTATAGTTTGTTTATGTTTGCCGCAAGGTATCATGTCAGTGTCATGGATGAATGACCTCGAACTCCAGGTGAGTTTTCTTGCATATCTGTGTTGGAGCTTCTTAAGTCATTCAGTCTGACATTATGCCCCCGTTAACACTACGGCGTTTTAGATCAAAAACGATCCGCGTCCACACTAGCGTTTCGCCTAGCGTTTCTGAACATATCTCCGTCCACACTACGCCACCAAAAACGTATGTTACGTGATCATACGCGCACTCTGGGCATGCGTGTTCTAGTATAAACAGGAAGCATGCGTCTCGCTCGGCGTTTGGTTATTGTTGGTCAACAAACACCGGTTGAACAATGAACGCGATGGCAAAGAAAGCAAGAGAGGTATTTTTGTGGACAGACGACGAGGTCGAGTTGTTACTAAACGTATCAAATGAATAACTGCACAATGCCGCCTAAAACAGACAATTGTCCAAACAACGCTCCCATTTTTGTGTCCATGTTGTTGTTTACAGTGAAGGCTGGTCTGCTGTCTTCCGGTAGCGTTCAAGCCATGTGTTATAGTCATGTTATAGGGGCTTGACGAATAAGGTGAGGATACGCAATGACACAAAAGCCCCAATCAGCTAGCGAATGTCGGCAGCCCCGCCTCCGTTTTCAGATATCTGTTTTTCCTCGTCCACACTGAGACGGAGCAGCAGCGTTTTAGAATGAAAACAGCCTCTCCAGCGTTTCCAAAACGCTCCGTTTTCAGCGCTCGAAAACTCCGGCGTAGTGTGGACGGATGGCGTAACCGTAGCAAAACTTATGCGTTTTCAAACTAAAAGGGGGCCTATGACAGCTGAAATCTTACAGTGTGATGTGGAAGTCATGTTCATGAAGTCTGACAAGCAACAACTGATTATAATTTGTAATGTCAACAGAAAAAAAAAATGTTCCAAGAAGCTGAAGACAGATGGATCCGAGCATCTTGGATGAAACTGACCACCTGAAAGCTGCCTTTCAAGGCTATTCTCTTTATCTAGATCAGTGGTTCCCAATTCTGGTCCTCTGGATAATATCGTAATCTTTAGTAGTTCGATTAATATCACAAACACAGATTTAGTTTAATGCCTAGTTCAGACTGCGTGATTTTAGCCCCGATTTTGGCTCGCCGACAGGTTTTGAGAAATCGCCGACAAATGCCTGAAATCACAGGCAAATCGCTGCTCGTGCACGTGAGTGACAATCACACAGTATGAACTTTCAAAGACGCGATCTGAGAGAATTGCCGATGAGTCGCCGATGCCTGCGAGATATTTGCCGTGCTGAATATCTGGAGCTGTCGGCGATTCAAATCATGCTGTGTGAATTGAGTTTTGACTGAAAATAACATCAGCCATCGCCTACAGCCAATGAGAGAGCAGCATTCACTTGTGTGTGCGGGAGGCTGGGGGAGAAGTTAAAAGCGCTCTTTTTCGGTTTATTTGGACCCACGAAATGCAGGAAAAACTAGTGGAGGTTTGACAGGACTCAGGAGCACCCGTGTCTGTTTGACGTTTCATACAGAAAGAAATTAGTTTATTATCAACGTTGAGGAGAAATGGCTAATTCCCTTTAAAGCCAGGTGAGCAAATATGTACATGTTCTACCCCATTAAAGGCTTCTTTCTCATTATGTAGTTAATAACAAAAGATATACGACGTGTTTTTGGCTGTGAGACGTAGTTTGGATGAAGTTGTCGGCGATTCTTCCTATAGTAAAGTCATGCAATGTGAAAGTCCCTGTCGCCGATCCATCTTGCAGTGTAAACAAAGCAGCGACGAAACACTAGCCCAGATAGTCACGCAGTGTGAAAACATCTGTGACACGACTACTTTGAAAATCCTGCAGTCTGAACTCGGCATAAGAGAGATGCAGCACAATCAGAAAGTTACAGACACACCATTTCCTGAATGACAAAGCCGATTGAATGCTCATCAAGTCAGACAGGTGAAGAAACTCCATTTATAAAAACACTCGTGTGTGTGTGTAGACAGGGCCTTTGTGTAAATGAGCAGAGGGACACACTCACTTCTTGAATGTTTTGTTTGGCTCGTCTGTCTGAGGGATGCATGACGTTGCCCATTATCTTGGTGTTCCCGCAAACCACCAAAGCCTCGTCAGGGCTGTCAGTGTTGATGCCGATCCTCCCATGGCACACTATGGACTCTGGGGCATGTCCTTTTTGCCAGAGAACATCACTATCGTTCTCAAACAGACCAGGGTTGGAGGCCTACAGATGAAAAGATGATAAGTTGGAGAACAAATCAAAGTTTTCGATCAATAAAGCAGCTAACTTTGAGGAAAACATGCACTAATCTGTTTGTAGATTGATGTTCCAGTGATTGGGTCTGTCCATGTTTGACCCAAGATGTCATTGACATCTAGCCTGATTCATCAGTAGATCCACAATTTAGTTGCCAAACACAGTATGATTGGCCAAGGCTTTCCTTGTGGAAACACTGCAGTGCCAAAAACAGACATTTTCCAGAACTATACAAGGCTTACTGTCCAAGAATCTGCTGTGATCTAGGTTACACGTGGGTCGCAGAAATAAATGAGGACATCAGAAAAAAAAAAAGATGCTAAGTTAAAAAAAATTAAAGTCATTAAAAGTCAAGTCCATTACTAAATGAGTCAATCAATCAATCAATCAATCAATCAATCAATCAATCAATCAATCAAGCCTTTATTGTCACTACACATTCGTATAGCGAAATTGGACCCCCCAGACCATACACAAAACATCACAAACAACTTTTCAGGGGAGACAGATCATAGGAGGTAGCATTCAGAAACGAAGAAATATACATTTGGACAGTTAGGCAAAAAAAAAACTCCCCCTCAGCTTGCCCTTGAGTAGGACAAAGTGAGAAGAGGGAGAAAAACAGCCCTATCTTAGCATAAGCACACCGGCAAGAAACAACATAGACCCTGGGGATGGGAACAGGGGTCATGGAAAACATTCCGTTGAGTGCGGGCAGCCAGCTGGTCCAGCGGCCATTTCAAGGCGCAAGTCACAGTCCCGCCCACGCCCCACCTGGGTAAAAGCACACGAAGGCATTTGGATGGGGATAAAAAAGGGCCATCCTTCATTACTCCATCCAAATGGAGTAATGAAGTTACCTTCATAACCTAGTTACCTTCATTACTCCATCGTAATGAAGGTAACTAGGGCGATTTTAACCTGTGTTGCTTATGAAAAAGCAAGAATTAGGGATTAAACAAGTAGTTGGGTACGTGGGTGTTGGATTCAAAGGTTCCCAGCAATGTAATTAGCAACTTCAGTCTAGTCAATCTATTTTTAATACAACACCAGGAAGACTTACCCTAACAATGATTCTTTCAGAAACATTCGCGACCAGCAGGAAGCTCTCGTCCTTCACAGTGGCGTACAGACCCACCACCATCATAAAGTACCTATCAAATGCAAACAGACATACAGATAGTGGCCCTATATGACTATTCACATAAAACACTTTACCCATGGAAGCTCAAGCTTGCTTAAATGGGCAAGCTTTTGTAGCCCCTTTAGCTGCCCTTGGCCATGGCTGCATTTTAGGATAACATTGTCCCTTATAGGCTACGAAGATTCTAAAGCGGAGGTCTCAAACTCCATTCCTGGAGGGCTGCAGTTCTCCAACTGACATCTGCTCAATAGTCTCTAGTAGTCTTGAACACCGTGATTTATTAGGATGAGCTGTGTTTGATTAGGGTTGGAGCAAATCTGTGCAGAGCTGCGGCCCTCCAGGAATCCAGTTTGAGACCTCTAAAGCAGGGGTCACCAAACTTGTTCCTGGAGGTCCGGTGTCCTGCAGATTTTAGCTCCAACTCTAATCAAACACACCTGAACAAGCTAATCAAGGTCTTACTAGGTATACTCGAAACATCCAGGCAGGTGTGTTGAGGCAAGTTGGAGCTAAACCCTGCAGGGCGCCGGACCTCCAGGAGCGAGATTGGTGACCCCTGCTCTAAAGGTACATCTTAACTTAAGTTATAACATTTCTTGGCGTGTTCCTCAAACTATAACTTAAATAGGTTGTTCGTTTTCTTACGCAAAACATTGCGAGGTGCGGTACCTGCAGGTGATACAGAATTGTTTGATTTGGATGGTAAACGGTGAGGAACTGTGTACTTAATCCCGATCTAGTCCACTCTCCCAAATTTTTATGTTGTATGTATATTTTTCGGGTCCACGGAGGAGCCGTCTTTTGGTTTACTTGTTGGCCCTTTTTCTGCACACTGGAAATGGAACCACACCACAAATTGTTTCATTAAAATAACTTGTTTCAGATGTTAGCATTAGTATGTTGGTAAGCTAACATCTAACATCCAAGGCTAACATCCAAAGCTTGCAGTTTGTCCCTTTCGCCAAATTGGATCAATGATTTGTTCGACGTCACCTCATACTTCAGTTTCTCATGAAGTCTTCTGACCAATCACGTGCTCTCTAATGTCTGACATGCCCCGCCCCCTACAAGTCGCTTCTCCTTTGCTTTACTTTTGATACGCTTGAGCTCAACCACTCTGGCAAAGCTAAGATAAAAACAAAATAATATTGACATTTCAAAGCACTTCACAGGACTTTTCCCTGCTAAAAAACAGCTTAAACCAGCCTAGGCTGGTTGGCTGGTTTTAGCTGGTTGACCAGCCTGGTTTTAGAGAGGAATAGATCTAAAGATTATGACCTTCAAACTAACTCAAACCGAAGCGCCATTCCCCGATGACATATTGATTGTAACTGACCTCAGATCAGGAGTGGGTTTGCCCTTTTTCCTCATGTGATTGGCAGTGGTTTCGCTGAAGTGCAAGCGTCCTAATGTCACTTTGGTGATTTTGTCTCCTGGTACATTTACTCTGAAAGGGGCGTTACAATAACACATTATTGAAATGTTTCTCGCATGCTTCAGTTGAAGTATCCTGACACTCACCTGACCGGCAGGAAAGGCTTCTTGCTTCGGTCCGACTGGGACTGCTCTGATAGTGATCGAATGGTTGGGTGCTTCGAGCT